CGAAACAGTAAAAGAAGTAAGGAGTTTCTTGGGACTAGCAGATTACTACCGCCGGTTCGTGACAGGTTTGCCCGTTAGCTAAGCCATTGATAGCTCTACCAAACAGAGAGTTCCTTTTATATGGTCAGTTGCCTGTAAGGAGAGTTTTCAAGAGTTGAAGAAAAGATTAACGACAGCTCCAGTGTTACTGTTACCACAGAGGGTGTAATTATGACATTTATACATATCCTCTCTGCAGGGACTTGGCACCGTATTGATCAGTTAGGTAGGGTTATCTTATGCTTCTCGTCAAGAAAGAGTACGAACAAGATACTCTACACATGATTTAGAGTTGGCAGCGGTAGTCTTTGCCTTGAGATTTGGAGGCATTATCTTTATGGGCGCCAAGAGTAATATCTCCACCGACCATAAGAGTTTAAGTATTTCTTTACTCAGAAGGATTTGAATAGAGACAAAGAATGTTAGAGTTGATAAAAGATTATGAGTGCGAGATTATATCAGTCGGGGAAAAGCTAATGTAGTAGCCGATGCTCTAAAGCGAAAGCTTATTTGTCCCACTCACAAACAAAAAGAATTAATAGAAAGAGTTGTGTAAAGAGCAGATTGAGGTCATACCAGAACGGATTGCCAATTTAGAGGTTCAGTCTACCTTACTGAGAAATTAAAGAAAAGCAGTTAAATGATGAGTGGTGTCAGAAAACAGTTTAACAAGTGCATAAGGCAGATATCAGAGTTTCGATATGATAATGTTCTCTATTTAGGAGTCGGTTATTAGTCCTCAGGATGATGATTGGAGAAAGAGAATCCTTACAGAAGCTCATGAGACACCGTACACTGCTCATCCTGGAGTAACCAAGATTATCAGATAAAGAAAGGCTATTGGTGGCAGCGGGATGAAAAAGATATTGCAGTTTGTAGCTAAATGTCTGACTTGTCAGCAAGTGAAAGCAGAACACCAAAGGCCATCAGGGTTGCTTCAGCCACTTAGTATACCTGAATGGAAATGGAGAGTATCTTGATGGATTTTATTACAGTCCTCCTAGAGTGCAGAAAGGATATAATGCTATATGGGTGAAGATAGACATATTGACTAAATCAGCCCATTTTCTTCTAGTAAAGGAAAGTACCACTTCGGATCAGTTGGTTTAGATGTAATTAGGGATAGTGAACTTCATGGTGTACCCAAGACAATAGTATCGACGGATTCCAGATTTTCTCAGCTTTCTGGATGAGTTTGCAGAGCAACTTGGGTACCCGATTGGCCTTTAGTACGGCCTATCATCCTCAAACAGATGGCCAAATAGAGAGAACAATCAAGTACTTGAGGACATGTTAGAGCTGCTGTATGGATTATAGGTATCTTGGCATGAATGTTACCCTTGGTGGAGTTTGCTTATAATAACAGCTACCAGTCACAATTAAAATGACTACTTATGAGGCTTTGTATGGTAGACGGTGTAGATCTCCACTGCATTGGGATGAGATGGGCGAAGAGATGAGTTGAATATAGCTCTTGGGCCAGAAATGACTCGAAAATGAAAGAAGATGTAAGCTGATCAGAAGCAAATAAAAAAAAAAGCCAAGACAGGCAGAAAAGTTATGCTGATCTGAAGAAAAAGAAGTTGATTTTGAAGTGGTGCAAAGTTTTTCTGAAAGTCTCCCCTACAACGAGTGATGCGTTTTGGTAATAAAGGAAAGTTAGCACCGAGATTCATTGGTCCATTTGAGGTATTACAGCGAGTAGGAAAGTGGCCTACAATTAGCACTACCACCCAATATGGACAGAGTTCACAAGGTATTTCATGTCTCGATGCTTCGAAAGTATATAGTGATCCCTCCCATATTCTGAGCATAGAGGACGTAGACTTAGAAGAGAATCTTGTGTATGGAGAGCAATCAGTGCAGATTTTAGATAGAAAAATTAAAGAGCTCCGAACAAGATATCCTTTTAGTAAAAGTCCTCTGGAGAAGTCATAAAGTTGAAGAAGCTACATGGGAGACAGAACAAGACATGCAGAACCGTTACCCGGAGTTGTTCGCTTGAATTTCGGGGACGAAATTCTTTAGGGGGGAGAATTGTAACATCCACATTGAGGTACATGATTTAAATTATGTTGTATAGCCCTTAGTTAATTGTTGAGAATTATTTTAAGAATATGAAAAATGCCTTAAACTTGCATTAAGGGTAAAATAGTATTTTCACTCAAAACTAGTTTGATTGTGGGGGAGTGAAAAGGATAGAAGATCATAGAGAATACAATAAAAGTGAGGGCATTTTGGTAATGGACTAAGGGACAAGATGGAATTTCTTTCTAAGGGACAAAGACGAAATTTCTAAGAAAGAGTAAGGCAAAATGGGAAAGTGAGTTTATAAACTAAAATGTTAAGGGTTTGAAACCCTTATTTCGTTCATACCACCCCCACCTTCTCCTCCTTTTTCTCTCAAATTTTCATTCACTTCTCCAAGGAATTTGAGGGTTTTTGAGTAGATTTTCATAGGGTTTTGATTCAAGAGCATCAAAAGGTAAGGATTCATGCTCTTTATCTAGGTTTTATTTGTGTAAAAGTTGAGTTCTTATGAAGTTTATGCTTAAGTTAAGAGAAGATTTGAATCCAACAAGAGTAGAAGCTTAGGAGAGACTACTCAAGCAAAAGGTAAGTAAATTCCCCTCAAAATCCAACTCAAGTTAAAGTTTAAGAAACAAGTGAGTAGAGATTTCTTTTAATATGTAAATGTTATATTATTGAGAAATTGAGTGAGATGGATGATTATTTATGCTTTGTGTTGGATATAGTTGAATATGAGGAGTGTATGTGATGGTTTGATGATGTTGAAATGGAAGAATTAGAGAAATCTTTTGAGTGTTTGTGGCCGTGTAGGTGGTGAGATATGGGAGAGTTTTTCTCCAATTTGGATGATGTAAGAAACCAATTGATGATAATTGAATTAGGGTTTGTTTATGCATAACTATTGTTTGATGAAATGTCTAAATGAAAACATGTTACCAAACTGCCTTGTCACAGCCGTGACTTTCTTAGTGATTTTTGGGCATCTTTCAGATTGAACTGGTTTAGACCAAAACAAAAAAGTTATATCCCTGTCTCCAAGCTTTAAAACGAATAAAATCGTAGCAATCCAATGTCTATACTCAAGTTATGCTTTCTTGAATAAGACCTATGCAGAATGACTATCTTTGAGTGCAACTTGCATTTGTGCATTTCATAAGTGCATTTAAGAAAATTTTTAACACTGTGCCATCCATATCATATAATGTGTATGTGTAGAAACATAAAGAATAAAGAATAAAGCCTAAGAATAAAGAATAAAACACTCATGAATAAAAAGAAAGGAAGAATAAGCATTAAAATTAAAGAGTGTTAAAGAAAAGTAAAGAATAGGTTGGTGTGATGGGAACCGTGAGTGTTAAGAAGAAATTCCCACTACACTCACCTTAATTGGGTAGAATCTTAGCCATGTCAGAAGTACATCCTTACTACATGCACTCTTGCGGACCGTACAAATTCCTTTCTTCTTAGCACTCATTAAGGTGACGTGCAGGTAAGAATTCTCTTGGTACAACCCTCATCCACATACACTTTTACGGTCGTATAATTCTTCTTCTTCTTATGCCACCCATTAAGGTGAGTGTATGTGGGAATTTCTCTTAACACTCACGGTTCCCCATACACCAACCTATTCTTTACTTTTCTTAACACTCTTTAATTCTTTAATGCTTATCTTCCTTTCTTTTTATTCCTAGAGTGTTTTATTCTTATTCTTTATTCTTTATTCTTTCTTGTTTCTACACATACACAATAAATGCAATGGATGGCACATGTTTAAAATTTCTTTAAATGCACTTATAAAATGCACAAATGCAATGTTGCATCAAGAAGTCATTCTGCACAGGTCTTATTTAGAAGGCATAACTTGAGTTTATGACATCGGATTGCTACAATTTTATCTTGTTTTAAAGCTTAGATACAGGGCTATAACTTTTAAGTTTTAGTCTAAACCCAGTTCAATCTGAAAGATGCCCAAAATCACTAAGAAAGTCACGGCTGTGACAAGACAGTTTGGTAACATGTTTTCATTTAGCATTTCTCAAACAATAGTTGTGCATAAACAAACCCTAATTCAATTATCATTCAATTGGTTTCTTACATCATCCAAATTGAGAGAAAAACCTCCCTATCATCACCACACCTACACGGCACAAACACTCCCAAAAGATTTCTCCAATTCTTCCACTTCAACCCTCATCAAACCATCACATACCTCCTCATATTCAACTATATCCAACAACAAGCATAATAATCATCCATCTCATCTCAATTTCTCAATAATCACAACATTTACATATTAAAAGAAATCTCTACTCACTTGATTTTCTTAAACTTTAACTTGATTGGATTTTGAGGAATTTACTTACCTTTTGCTTGAGTAGTCTCTCCTAAGCCTCTACTTTTGTTGGATTCAAATATTCTCTTAACCTTAAGCATAAACTTCATAAGAACTCAACTTTTACACAAATAAAACATAGATAAAGAGCATGAATCATTACCTTTTGATGCCTTGAATCAAAACCCTATGAAAATCTCCTCAAAAGCTCTCAAATTCCTTGAGAAGTGATGAAATTTGAAGAAAAAGGAGGAGTATGGGGGTGGTATGAACGAAATAAGGTTTTCAACCCCTTAACATTTAGTTTATAAACTCACTTTCCCATTTTGCCCTTACTCTTTCTTAGAAATTCCTGTCTTTGTCCCTTAGAAAGAAATTCCATCTTTGTCCCTTAGTCCATTACCAAAATGCCCTCACTTTTATTGTATTCTCTATGATTTTCTATCTCTTTTCACTCCCCACAAAATCAACTAGTTTTGAGTGAAAAGACTATTTTACCCTTAATGCAAGTTTAAGGCATTTTCTTCATATTCTCTTAAAATAATTCTAACAAAATTTAACTAAGGGCTATACAACATAATTTAAATCATGTACCTCAATGTTGGGTGTTACAAACGTTGAAGGACAACGTTTTGAGAAGTTGTCTAATATAATGCTGACAGTAGCCGATATGGCATCAAACAATAAGAAAGACTGTAATATGTTGATGGAATCTATGATTGGCATGAGAAAAAAATTGGAGCAGAAGGAATGTGAGGGAGGGCTTGGTAGTAAAGATGGGGACGATTCTCCCAAATAGAGGAATAGTCTAATTATTAATCTACAGGCAGTTCGCAACAAAGGTCGTCCTCCATGCAAAAGAAAGCAATCGAAGGTTGATAAAATTGTACGTAGGGCTAAAAATAAAAAATTACGAAAACAAAGAATTGGTATGAGTTATACATCTATTCTTACATGATATTTGTTTTTGAAACATTATTTACTTATTTGAAGTTTATAATAATATTTACTTGATTATTAATGTGTTATGCTATTTTATAGGGAAAGAATCATCAGCAGAACGAGACAACATTATTGAAAGTAGACTAGGAACTCAAGTGTTGTCAAATGATGTTGTTACTACCCAGGTATGTGTTATGTATGTTGTATAATTGTAAAAACCTTAAGTTTTATATAACTTGTGCTAAATTGTGGTTGTTAAACATTGACAGTTGTCCATTGGTCCGATTTAGAATCTCACAAGAAAAAGTAATTTATGTACTGGGCAGTAGGATGTAAATGATGAACATATTTCGTTGGTAGAGATTTGATATCGTAAACGGATTGAAGCATATAAAATTGTATTCAGTAGAAATTATTCGCGTTGTGGTTAATTTCTGATGAATGCAGTTGAACTGTATACTAATTCAGTTGTTTTGTTTTTATTATCTTTGTCGCTGATTGGGTAAGAGTCGAATGTATGTTGTAGGGTTGTGAATTCATAATAATAACGTAAATGTAACTTATTCTTATTTTGAATGTTTTCAGTATATATTATCATCACATTTCAGTATATATTATTCTACATTTCATTTGAGATTTTAATTTTGATATTTCTTTTGGTATGTCTAGTATTACATATACATATGTATTGAGATATGTATTGAACAATAATTAATGATATGAAACTGTGGCAAATATAATCTTCATACATAACATTCATACTAACAATTAACATTCATATGATATTGGAGAAGTTCAACTAATTGAGAACATCTTGTGAAATCATACTTTGTTAATTAACATATTTATAAACAAAAGGAAAATATAATCTGCGTACAAAGAGTTTAGTATTTGAACTACACATAATAACAATTAACATTCATAGTGCATTCTCTAAGGATGTTAAGAAGGTGGAGGTTGTTGAGAAGTTCTTCATCATAGTGTAAAGGGTGGAGGTTGACTAGAGGAGGAGGAGGTTGTTGACAATTTCTTTATCATGCTGGAAATTTCTATCATGCATTCCCCAAGGATGTCAACCATTTTTTCTATCCTTGATGTGAACGAGTTAAAATCACTTTGCAACTAATCCTGTTATTCCTGCATCAATATGTGAAAAACTCTCCTCTTGAAACATTTCAATCCGCTCAAATCTGCTTACTATTTCGTCTAAGGTATGAAAAGACATTTCTTGTACATTCTGAGAAGATCCAGGTTCAATACTCATTCTTCTTCTTTTGCGCACATAGACTCGTCCTTGATTTTCCCCTTCTGGAAGAGGGACACCTTCATGAACTGTTGCATCTTCCTCCATTTCATCCTTAATCAGAAACTATTCTCCTGCCACATTCTTTTTAATCAAACTCATTTTACACAATGTCACATCCCCCAACAAATAATTTGCAGAAAATGTAATCTTACTGGCTTCATTAGAATTGGTGATCTCTAAACCCAACTTCTCACATATTAGCGTAACAAAATCCCCCAATATATTTCTCCTTTTTCTGCTTTAATCTCTCCCAACTTTTAATCAATAACTTTGCTGAATTTACTTGCCTCCCTGTTATTGCTGCTTCCATGAACAACAAATCTTTGACTGTCACATTTCCATTTGTCTCTTTCCTGCCATTAAATGTGAAAGTCAGAAATCTGTGAAAAACTCTTATGGTAGGATTCTTTAACTTTGTAGATTTACACCTATGTGGATGGTAAATCCCTATTCTAGAAACATCCGTCCAAGCTTGTTTGGAATCCCACGTTCTGGATACGTTATCCAAACCTTCAAAATCAAACCCTATCTAGATTGCTAAACCTTGTGGCCTCACTACACAATTCTAATTCTTTAATCTAAAAAACATTGTATACGTCGAAAAATCATCAGTATTTGTCGCTACAACTTCCAAACTACTAAAAAACTCATAAATCAAATGCTTATATCCATCATATCTAATACTCACCAACTGGTCTCATTTCAAATTACGGATCCAACCATTAATCTAATCACCTAAACCAAAAATTGCTATAAATCCTAAATCTAAACTTTTTCCAAGACAAATATCTCTTTTCGCCATCTCTTTGTATTGCTTTTTATATTGCACGTCTCGAAATTGGACTCCATATGACAATGTGCCTCCATGAGGAATGGTTGTATTTTTTTGCTCTTACCATTTTTTGCTTTCTTCTAAAAACATATCTATAAGCAATTCTGCAGATATTAAAAAAAAAAAGAACTATAATGAAAAATCATGTTTAGTGCCATTCATGTCTAGATTGTAGCATTACTTACAAGAATATCATCACCTTGGAGCAGTTATGACTTATGTGAACTATAAAATGTTCAAAAAAATGAACTTAGCATACATGCTTACCAATGCATTGCCAACGATCAAATTGTCACCTTGGAGCAGTCACATAGTTGTATATTTTTTCCAGCTAATAATACTAATAATAATCGGTTATGGTTTTCTTGATATTTAGTCTCATCATCTGTTTCTTCTTCACTTTTCCATGTGATTTCAGTTCTGTCTCTCTAAATCCAATGACCAATTTTCCATTTCTTTCCGTTTCTGTAACATTATCTTTTGTTTTTGTTTTTTGTTTTTTAATTGTATTTGGTTTGGTTGTTTTTTACATGGACATATAGCTCAGAGACATTGACAGTGAAGCAAATCTAAGTCCTCTCTTTTATTTCTCTGTCTTTTTTCATATGCAATTGTAAGCTTCAAAAGCTAGACACGACACAACCCAGATCAGATTGAAGCATTGGGAAGCTGATCTTGAAACACTTGCGTGTTGAAAACTTTTTATGAAGATTTCTGTTAAATGCTGCTCAGCTATACTCCATTTACATAATTAATGCAACCCAGTTGTAAGGTTGCATCAATTAAGACAAATTTATTGTAATTATATTTTTAATTTTTTTATAATTATTTGGTTGGCCATGGAGAATTAAGACAACTCCAGTACATGTTTCTTGAACGTTTACTAGACTATTGGCTTTGTAACCTCCAACATGCAAGCTTTCTTTTGTATTTCTGAGATGAGACAAAGCTTTGGTTGCCAATTAATATAAACCAACATGGTTTATAACTCTGTTTTGTCAAATTTCTGGCTTTGCATGAGCTATTTAAAGAATGATATCGGATGGGTTTTACGTTTTCTGCAAGTTTAGAGACTGAAAATACCACAAAAGTTGAGAAGTTTCTTCAAGTTTATATTTGTTTGCTTCTTCAGATTTATGGGTCTACAATTTCAAGTGTTTGTAATGTGTCTTTCAATCCAGTTTATGATCATAGCAGCTACAACTAACTCAGATGATGGTAAGTTCTTGCTTTGGTGATATGTAACTAAAGGATCTTTAATGTATGTGATGTTTTAGCTGAGTGTTGGTGAAAAATCAAGATTCAATGACTCTAAATGAATCATCAATTGAAGGGTTTTGGTTATAACTTTTTGATTAGAGTTGATGGTTATCTGTGCTTAATAATCTGCTCTCCTTTCGCTAAAATCACACTCCTTAATATGCTAATTCCACTAACTGAATTATTCCCTCTCCTAGCATGCTTACTTTTCACACAACAATATCACCTAACCAACCTCCACTAACACAAAAATGAAACCAACCTACCTTCACACGACAAAAATATGGACGGTCGTCATTCATGAAAGTCTTGTATCGTGCCCTACGTGATGACATCCAAATCAGGTGTCACGTATATCGGTACAAAATTTTGATACCAACTTTCGGTGTGTACATAGCATTTTTGATAATATTAACCCATGTACATATCCTAAGAGGGATTCAAACAAGAAAAAGTTTTCATGATATATATATCCTAAAAGAATATACTGCATGATAAAGAGGATGAGCATATTATTTATAGCATTCAAGTAGAGACGTGGTTTACCAGAAATTAGGATAAGACAATAAAATCGGGTAGGCCAACCTGGCAGTGACAAGGCAAATTTGAAGTAAAAATGGAATGAGTAAAAGACTAAAAGGTGATGAAGTCACCAGCAACAAATTTGGAAGAAAAGAGAGAAATCCTAGTTGTGATCAAACAGCGTCCAAACTAATTTAAATTATTCCTTATCGTCTTGATCCCTTTGCCTTTGCGTGTACTTCGGTATCTCTTTTGTCAGTTATAAATTTATCCATAACCAATCCATATTTTAATTGACTTTTTTTTTTTTTTTTTTTTTTTTTCCATTAGAACAGAAAGTTGAGTCGAAATGAGGATAAAGGAGAATGAAGGAGTATCAGCATCTGCATCCAGGAACCATCTGGTTTTCGCTTATTATGTCACTGGCCATGGTTTTGGCCACGCCACCCGTGTTGTTGAGGTTGTCAGGAATTTAATTCTCGCTGGTCACGATGTGCATGTCGTCACCGGTGCTCCTGATTTTGTTTTCACTTCTGAAATTCAATCTCCTCGCCTCTTCATTCGCAAGGTTTTTCTAATTTTAATTTTTTTTTTATTTGTTTTTTCTTCTGTTTCTGCTGAATTTTGCATTCATTTGTGAAATTTGATGAAATCAGGTACTCTTAGACTGTGGAGCAGTTCAGGCAGATGCGTTGACTGTCGATCGCCTTGCCTCATTGGAGAAGGTAATGTGGATATCAATTTCTTTGTTAATTTTATTCTTTTTTCTTAATTATTGATTTTTTTTTTTCGTTTTTTTACTTTTTATACTAGTATTCAGAGACTGCAGTGGTTCCTCGTGATTCTATTTTGAAAACTGAAGTTGAATGGCTCAACTCCATCAAAGCAGACTTAGTGGTAAATTTCATCCTTATTCAAGCTTTAGCTTTCATTTTCTTTTTTAATTATATTGTTGAAACATTTGATGAACACGGCTATTTGGTGAACCCAAACAGGTTTCAGATGTTGTTCCAGTTGCATGTCGGGCGGCAGCTGAAGCTGGTATTCGGTCTGTTTGTGTCACCAATTTTAGGTAACTCATATTACTGCTATTACTTTCTCTCTTGCAAATTATGATATTAATCTTATTTATATTTGAATACCTTTCAAATAATTTACAGCTGGGACTTCATTTATGCTGAGTATGTGATGGCTGCTGGCAATCATCACCGTTCTATTGTTTGGCAGGTGAACTATCTGTTCCCATGGGTCGTGTTCCCCGGTTGGTTTTTTCTTTGTATGAGTTGGATGAGGGATTATACTTCTATTTGCAGAAGTGTCATGGTTATCAATAATGACTGACTGTGTTTTAGGCAATGATTTGAGTTGTTGGAGCCAACTCAACATGCTCTGTGAAATGTCCCTCAACTATGAAGTTCTTAATACTTCTGGCATATCTATATAAATACATGACATGGTTTGTGCAATGCAATGTTGACATATGACATGGTTGATTATATTGGTCCCAACCCAATAGTAATGTGTTTATGGTGTTCGAGTTTTGCCCTTTGCTGTTGTCATGGTTATTAGTTTATAATAATGCTAACCTTGTTTAGTTTTGTAAAATTCAATACAGATAGCCGAAGATTATTCTCACTGTGAATTCCTCATTCGCCTGCCAGGATATTGCCCAAGTATGTTGTTTGTTTTACAACCCTAAGAAAGTGGCTTTCTTTTATGCTTGTTGACCCTTCTTCAATCATATTTATAGATGCTGAAAGGTTTATAATGATTGGTCTCAAATTGTACCAATACAGTGCCTGCTTTCCGTGGTGTTGTTGATGTACCTCTGGTTGTGAGGAGGTTGCACAAATCTCGCAAGGAGGTTTAGTACACAATACTTGGTTGAATCCTTACATTGTGTGTTGAAACCAGAATCTAGGTTCTCAGTAACTTATTTTACTTTCTTCTATAGATAAGGAAGGAACTTGGAATTGGGGAAGATGTGAAGCTAGTTATCCTCAACTTTGGTGGACAGGTGAGATCACTGATTAAAAAAGAGAATTTAGATGTTGTTAACATCTGTTTGCTATGGAATTCTCTGTGGTGCTAGATTGTTTTGATTCTCTCTCTGGAAATGATCGATTCCAACAGAGATCTATTATATTCTGAAAGCTATCAATTACGAAAGATGTTTGACTGTGTGTATATATCTTATTGAAATTGCTATAGAAATGGGTCCTAGTATCTGTCTTTGGCGCTCATATGTTTAATTATTTAGGCAGTGGACATTTTTAACTTTTAGACATGCTGACACCTGCATAAGTTATTTGCCTTTACGCACACTCATCTTGTGGCTTATTAACTGCTTACCAATGCTAGTCCCTGTCACTATTAGTGATTGAGGTTCCATATTTAAATCAGCTTGGATTTAATATCTCATATCATTGTTTAAGATTGATATACTATAGCGGATGGTTTTGTTTTGATAATGCTCAATCGTAAACTCTCATTCTGCCCTGGATAGATGAGTTTAATTACTTTTATATACATCCTAATTCAGTCTCTGATATGCAGCCTGCAGGCTGGAAGTTGAAGGGGGAGTATTTGCCTTCTGGTTGGCTGTGCCTGGTACAGTTTGTATCATGTTTTCTGCATCTTTCTCCTGGGCACAATGTGCTTGGCATGCTTTAGTTTAACTTGTATATTGTTCTCTGGTTCAGGTTTGTGGTGCTTCCGATAGCCAGGAGCTTCCACCAAATTTTATAAAACTTCCGAAAGATGCTTATACACCTGATCTGATAGCGGCTTCCGACTGTATGCTTGGTCAGTTACAATTTTTTGTGGACAATGAACTGGATCAGATCTTTATTAAATTGCCTCAACTATTTCAGGAAAAATTGGATATGGCACTGTCAGTGAAGCCTTGTCATACAAGTTGCCTTTTGTCTTTGTACGCAGAGATTATTTCAACGAAGAACCATTTCTGAGAAATATGCTTGAGGTAAATATAAATGCCTGCTTTCTTAACTATTTTTCTTCTTTTCCTTTTTATGATGATCAGAATCTGACTTTAGTTATCATAACTTTTTATGCAGTTTTATCAGGCTGGTGTGGAGATGATTAGGAGGGATTTACTAACGGGTAATTGGAAACCTTACCTGGAACGTGCAATTAGTTTGAAACCATGCTATGAAGGAGGCAGCAATGGTGGTGAGGTAAATTCATTCTTGAGATTTCTGGTTCTCTATAAGAAATAGATTTCATAATCAGCTTAACTATTGATGATTACAGTAGGAACTAAGCTTCTGCAAGTTGTTAGCCATGTACCCTCTGTTAGTGTAGGTTTCATATTGTCTTTTAGATTGCAAATAAAGATTATGTTAGTAATTAAGATTTATTGAAATAATTAGTTATGAACAATATTGACTAAATGTTGGTGAACTTGCTATTCAGCATTAGAGAGGAACCTATAAGTAAAGGTTAAAACCTCCACATATTAATTTAATTAATTAGAACAAACAACATATGAAATAAGATTTATTACATTAGTTCAACCTGTTAAAATATATGTTCCCATTCTAAGATTTAGAACTCTTTACATAATTTTTAATATTGGCACCACGTAATACTCTGTTCACTAAATTAGCTGGCTAAGGATTCCACCTTATAATAGTGCATGGGGTTTATAGCACCCAAACTACTTTGCACGGTAACTTGTATCTTGTAATTAGATTAATGAGTACAGTCAAACTTATTAGTTAGTGGTAACCATATTTAATTTCCAGTATCTAAAATAGAGTAAAATCTTATTATGGTTTTTCACTTAATCAAATTTGAATTTTGATTAATTGGAATACAATCATCTCCTTTACTTAAAAAAAAAAAAAAAAAAAAAGTTAAAAAAAAAAAAAGTCAGCAAGGTCCTACAAAAGAGAGGACCTGTAAATCTTTCCCATTATGTCCTTATCTCAGGTAGTTCAGTGAGATGTCTTCATCTTTTAGTTGGCTACTATATGAGGTTTAAATTTTTTTAAGTGGTGCCTTGTTCTGTTGTTTTTGCAGAATGATT